AACCAAAGAGGTCCCCGACATTCTTTCAAACTACTTCAAAAACAAAACACAAGGAATTCCCGAGATTCTTTCAAATTACTTCAAAAACCCATACAAGGAATCCCACGATTCTTGAAACTACTTCAAAAACGAAAATAAAATAAAAAAAAATCCCGAAATCCATCAAACTAATTTAAAATCCAGGTACAAAGAGGTCTTCGAGATTCTTTCAAACGATAGACTTCATAAACCAACTACAAGAGGTCCTCAGGATTCTTTTAAACAATCCACTTCAAAGGCAAAAGAAAAGGGATCCTCGAGATTCTTTCAAACTACTTCAAAAGCAAAGCAGAAGGGATCCCTGAGATTCTTTCAGGCACTTCAAATACAAAACAAAAGGGGTCCCCGAGGTTCTTTAAAACTACTTCAAAAACAAAAGAAAAGAGGTTTTCGAGATTATTTTAATCTACTAAAAAACAAAACAGAAGAAGTTTGCCAGATTCTTTCAAACGACTTTAAAAACAAAACACAAGGGGTTCCTATGATTCTTTCAAATTACTTTAAAACCCAGATAACGTATCCCCAAGATTCTTGAAAACTACTTCAAAAACGAAAACAAAAGGAATCCCCTTGGTGCTTCAAACTACTTCAACAGCCAGGTTCAAAAGGGTCCACGAGATTCTTTCAAACTACTTCAAAAACCTGATAGAAGAGATTCCTGAAATTGTTTTCAAACTATTTCAAAAACATAAAAAAGTAGTCGTCCTTTTCGTCCTTCGTCCTTTTCGTCTTTCGTCCTTTTCGTTCTTCGTCCTTTTCGTCCTTCATCCTTTTGTCCTTCGTCCACGAAATTCTTCCAAACTACTAAAACAACAAAACAAAAGAAGTCCTCGAGATTCTTTCACACTACTTCAAAAACAAAACACAAGGAATTCTCGAGATTCTTTCAAATTACTTCAAAACCAAAGCAAGGGATCCCCAAAAAATTGCAAATTACTTCAAAAACAAAGCAAAAAGAGTCCCTGGTATCCTTCAAACTACTTCAAAAACAAAACGAAAGATCTCTGAAATCCTTATAAAAAAATACGTATATAATTAATTTTTCAAAATCGACAAATGAAATATGGCCATTAATTTGGTATTTCTAAAAAAATTGAGTTTGAGACTCAATATTTCGAAAATCTGCATCCGGGACTATCAACAAGTTATATTCTCAGAATTAAAATGTGGAAATTTATATCTTAGAATTTATTGTGGATTTTTAGATAATTTTTCCAACACCTCCATTTTTCAGTACTCCCCTCTTATAAAATTTTCAACCCTTTACCTTCGAAAATTACGTAAAGAGATTTTTTTTATAGATTTCGGCTTTCAAAATTTACTTTCGGCTTTATTTCTTCGAAAATTTCTATGATTTTTCCAAAATCGTCAAATGAATGTGGCAATTTTTTTAATTACTAAAAAATTTGATTTTAAAACGGAATGTTTCGAAAATTTTGGTCCGGAACTACTCGTATAAATTCGCTATGCGAGAGCTCTTGGAAATATATATCCTAGAATTTTTTGGCAATTTTTAGATAACTTTTCCAAAACTTCAATTTTTCGTGAGTTTTCCCACCTTTTTTCAACAACCATCGAAAATTACCCAAAAGATTTTCTGTAAATGTCGACCTCCAAAATTTTCTTAAGGCTTCATCTTTTGAAAATTCCTAGCATTTTTTTTTTTTAAATAGCCAAATGAAATATAGCAAGCGATTTTTAGAATTTATAAAAAAATTGAGTTTGATCCCGAATATTTCGAAAATGTATCTGCATCCGAGACCATTAACCTATATTTTGTGAATCAGCATGTCGAGATCTATATTTTACAATTTTAGTGGATTTTTAATCAACTTTTCCAAAACCTCCGGTTTTAACTATTTTTCTCTTGCGAAATTTTCGACCCTTTCTAGACCACTTTCGAAAATTACTTAAAGAGATTTTTTCTACTTAGATTTCGACCTTCAAAACTTACTTTTCGTTTCATTTCTTCGAAAATTCCAATACGTAATTAGAAATTCTAAAAAATTTAGGTTTGAAACTGAATAATTCGAAAACTTGTTTAGGGGACCATCAATAAGCTATATTTTGAAAATCAGTATCTCGAGACCTATGTGTTAACCTTTATTTTTCAATAATCTTCTCTTATGAAGTTTTCGGCACTTTTTAGATCACCTTTGAAAATAACCTAAAGAATTTTTTTGTCGATTTCGACCTCTAAAACTTACTTTCGGCTTTGTTTTCGAAAATTCATACCAATTTTCCAAAATCGCCAAAGAAAATATGACGGTTATTTCAAAATCCAGGTATAAGGGACTCCCGCCATTCTTTCAATCCACTTCAAAAACAAAACAAAAGGGGTCTCCCAGATAATTTCAAACTACTTACTTTAAAAACAAAACACAAGGAGTTCCTGAGATTCAAATTATTTCAAAACCCAGACAAGGAATCCCCAAGATTCTTGAAAACTGCTTCAAAAACGAAAGCAAAAGGAATCCCCGAGATCCTTCAAACTACTTCAAAAGCCAGGTACAAAAGGGTCCCTGAGATTCTTTCAAACAATTCAAAAGCCAAGCAAAAAGGGATCCCCGAGATTTTTTCAAACAACTTCAAAAATAAAACAAAAGGGATCCTCGAGATTCTTTCAAACCACCAAAAAACAAAACAAAATGTGTCCCAGAGATTCTTTCAGGTTACTTCAAAACCCAGACAAGGGATTCCCAAGATTCTTGAAAACTACTTCAAAAACGAAAGCAAAAGGAATCCCGGAGATCCTTCAAACTACTTCAAAAACCAGATACAAAGGAGTCCCCGAGATTCTTTCAAACGAAGCACTTCATAAACCAAGCACAAGAGGTCCCCGAGATTCTTTCAACCCGCCTCAAAAACAAAAGAAAAGGAGTCTCCGAGATCCTTTCAACCTACTTAAAAATTGAAAAACATGAATTTAAGATTCTTTTAAACTACTGCAAAAACAAAACCAAAGATGGGTCTAAGATCCTTTCAAACGACTAAAAAACAAAGTAAAACACGCACTCGAGATTCTTTCAAACTACTGAAAAAGCCAGACACAAAGAATGCCCGAGAGTCTTTCAAATTTCTGCCAAACCCAAACAGGGGATCCCCAAGATTCTTGAAAACTACTTCAAAAACGAAAACAAAAGAAATCCTTGTGATACTTCAAACTACTTCAAAAACCAGAAACAAAGGAGTCCCTGAGATTTCTTCAAATGATGCTCTTCATAAACCAAGCACAAGAGGTCCCCGAGATTCTTTCAATCCACTTGAAAAACAAAAGAAAAGGAGTCTCAGAGATCCTTTCAAACTATGTACTTCAAAAACATGACAAGGGATCCTCAAGATTCTTTCAAACTACTGCAAAAACAAAACAAAAGTTGGCTGTAAGATCAAACGACTAAAAAATAAAACAAAACACACATTCCAGATTATTTCAAACTACTTTAAAAGCCAGACAGGACAGGTGCCCGAGATTCTTTCAGATTACTTCAAATCCAGACAAGGTTTCCCCAAAATTTTTGGAAACTACTTCAAAAACAAAAAGAAAAGGAATCCCGGAAATCCTTCAAACCACTTGAAAAACCAGATACATAGAGGTCCCCGAGATTCTTTTAATCCACTTCAAAAACAAAAGCAAAGAAACTACTTCAAAAACCGAACACAAGGAGTTCCTGAGATTCTTTCAAATTACTTCAAAAACCAGACAAGGAATCCCCAAGATTCTTTCAATCCACTTCAAAAACAAAATAAAAGGGGTCCTTGAGATTCTTTCAAACTACTTCAAAAATTAGACATAAGGGGTCCTCGAGATTCTTTCAGATTGCTTCAAAAACAAAACAGAAATATCGTTTGCGAAGAGTAAATCATTGATTTCTATTTTTTCTAGGTTATGATATTTCCAATGAATTTTTCTAGTTTTCTGCTTACAAAATTTGGATAGATCTTCTATTTTCGTCCGATTCTTCACGTCTGCTGTATTTCTGCTACTTTTTTCTTTGGTTGTTGCTTCCTTTCATTGTTGTCCTCAACTATCCCTTTTTGTCAAATTTGTCTTTGATTTTTCAAGTCCACCTGTTCGGTAAACGGAATACATATCTGTATTTTTAATAATATGTCTTTAGTAGCTATAATTCATATTTTCAATAAATGAACCACTCATGTATTTTTGTTTTGTTTTTAGCGCCAAAGGGCTAAAACCACAAACCCTTTAAAACCCCTTTCCACCCAAATCCACTCGTCACGCACCATTTCTTCATCTAATACCGCGTCTCGACTTATCCGTTTTCAATTTCAGATTACACCGAGATAATTAATTGTCCGACAATACGACCCTGTTTTTTTCAAAACACAAACCCACACTCTTATACCGTGTCCATAATAGAATGCATTGTTCCTGTATAACAGCCATTTTAAATTCACAAGACCAAACTATTAGTGTTATTGATGATCTGACCAGAAATATTGATTGATGAATACCCTTGACATCACAAATCATATATCGTAGAATCGAACCCCTAGAAGAAAATGACTTTAAAAACCATCATCATCACGTCGGAGAGAAATTCGAAAGAATTATTTGGTCGGGCCGCGTTGACTGACCGATTGATACGTCAAAAATGGCAATGTCATGCTCTTGGAAAATCGCCATTAACTCTGTTTAATGGCCAGCGTAATTGCAATGAGCCATATCTTACTCAATGCGTTCATTATCAAACCAGATTTCTGGGTTGGGGTGTTTAATGTTTGATTAGATTCGGCTCTGCCCATGACCGGTGTATGCGTAAGGAGTGCTAAATAATGCATATAACGCATAAGCAATCTAATCTAATACAAAGCCGGCTTTAGTTTCGTAACTATATTGAGAATAACACAGACATTCTTCACCCGCATCTCTTGAATAAATACTCTACAACTTATTAAGATTCAATGATGCACTTTTACAGTCCAGACATATTACTTAGATGGACCAAACGAACTTTACTTTTAAATATTGAACGTCATCTCGAAGCTCCTCTTGAGCAGCTTTAAGTCGTAGAGTTGTCCAAAATATTCACCGAGGATTTTTCTACAACAAACCACAAAAGAAAATTTCTCCCATTTTTTTCTATTGTTGTTTTTATTTCTACCGCGTTTTGTTGCCGTTTTTCTCGCACTTTGCTTCAACGTGGTCCCTTTTATTCGACCTGGATGTTGTACTGTATTCTGAAAGACTGCTTGGCCAACTCTAGTCAGGTAAGATTAATGACTGGTCCGATCTGATTCGATAAACTAATGAACTATTGTGTTTGAAATAACTTACTCGCTCGGCCACGGACAAATCGGACTACAATGGTCCGACTATTATGCCTGAATATCAAACACATACATATACAAGAACCCACAGAAAAGGCCTGTTCGATGAATCGAAATATTAAATTTATTGTGGACGTTTTGTTTTGGAACTCGATTAATGACGGCTTTAAATATAGATCCGCGGAATGAAAGGGTTTTCAGTGAAATTGTGTTAGGCGTGTTTCACAAGCCTATTCGAGATAATGTATCTTGTTAACTCGGTTTTAACATCGAATAAATGTCACCTGTCACTGGATTAAAAGACGGTCTGGAAGTGAGCAGAGGAAAGTAAAAACAAATAAGTTAATCGAAATTTGAAAAAAATCACAAAAACACTTACCCACACTAAAATTTTTAGCCAGATCCTACGTGTTCTAACCGTTTTATAGTGTCATAATTAGTGTAAAAACTATAACACTACCCATACATTAACAATATTAGTTAATTTATAACACTTTATTTTGGTAAGAAACTTTTTTAGTTCAAATTTCACCCACCGAGAATGACATAAGTTTGACAGCAACATTGACACCAAAAATTCACATTCGTCAAGTTGGATACCTGGCGTTTTTGTCACATTTATTCATTCCGGGTTCGCACACACGCTTAAAACACACAGTTTTGGTATTTTTAACTATAAAAGTGATGCTTAGATTTAGCGAATTAGTTAACCTCTTATTTAATTAATTTAGGTTAATACAGATTTGTTTGACACACGATAGTAAATATAAAGTGGGTGTGGAAACGCGTACCTGTAAATTCTTTCAGACGGAGAGACACGTCAACAGGCCCTGTGGCGCAACGGATAACGCGTCTGACTACGGATCAGAAGATTCCAGGTTCGAATCCTGGCAGGGTCGCTACATTTTTTTCTTAATCAAACCATTCTGTGTTTCATTTTTGAATTTTTTGGCAACGTACAAACGATTAAGTTCAACATAAATAACGAAATTTGCCAAAAATACATGCGTGGGTGGATTTATTTGGCACAGGGCCGTATTCAGTTCAGTAATCAGTAGTAATTAGAATTTTAGATACCGAGCTCTAGTAAGTCCGCGATGATTGAATAAAGTCAATGTTGTGTGTTTCGTTTTGACGATAATTTGACTAAAAACGGCTATTTGACATTTTTGAGAAATTATCTAGTTCTTGTTATATTCAACAAGATGATGATCTGCCTCATTATGTTTAATATGTGGGATATTGCTTGGACAATATTTTCCAGGAAATTTAATTTTTCTCTTACAAGTTTTGCATTAAAAAACAACCATATTTATACAATTAAAAAAAAACAAAATATCTTAAATAATGTGTTCAACTAATTTTCGGATATATGTAGTTGAAAAATGGTCGAAAATGTCAAAAGTGCCAAAGTCAGTCTTATCTCATCAAATATTAGCCCCGCCCACCCACCCTCTTTTTTCTTGGAAGGTATGTTTTTTGCCAAAATCAGTCTTATCTTAGCAAGTACGTGTAAAAGTTATTTTTGGGTTTATTCTCTAAAAAATTCCAACAATTTTCCCAGAATTGCTAAAATTAAAAAACGCCAATTTTTGATACATTAAAAAAGCGAATTTTTGAAAAATCTCAGTAAGTAACAAAAAAATCAATAAATTATGCATTTTTTCTTTTTACTTTTTAGGTCACCATACATTTTAAAATCGTTTACGTTCAATCGTTCCAAGTTTTTTTTTACTTTTGAAAATTAGGTCCGGATTAGATTTTTTTAAATTTAAAAGTCCAGGAAACTCGTCGAAAATTATGTAAGGATATTTTCTGGTTAATTTAGATTTGTAAATTTTGTAAATGTAAGATAAGACTGATTTGGCAAATCACATATAGTCTCTAAGAAAATAGAGGGCGGGTGGGCGGGTCTAGTATTTGATAAGTTAAGACTGATTTGGCAAATCAAATAGCCTTAACAAAATAGAGGGCGGGTGGGTGGGGCTAGTATTTGATAAAATAAGACCGATTTTGGGAAATGACATACCCTCTAAAAACAGAGGGTTTGTGGGCGGGGCAAGTATTTGCTAAGCTAAGACTGTCTTTGGCAAATGACATACTCTCTGAGAAAATAAAGGGTGGGTGGGCGGGGCTAGTATTTGATAAGATAAGACTGATTTTTGCACTACAAATTTTATATACTTAGTATAAGAAAAAAAGTTACGATTAGGACTTTTTTTGACTTTTTTCACATCTTAGATTCTATTAGTTTCCACTCCCACTCGACACAAGAACATAATTTCAAATAAAATTTATTTGTTGAGTTTCCTTAAAAAATATACATTAAAAATTATATTTAGTCAAACAGTACCATTTTTTCTCATTTTTAATTTTTTCGACATCTTAAACAAGAGTGTTGTGTTTTTTTAAATATTAAAATTTATAAAATACAGAAAGCATTTTGATTTTTTTTCATGTTTTCTTGATTTTTGATATTTTAACTTCTAGAATATGAAAAAGTAGGTCCCGTTTCCGTCTGTTTGTTGTCCATCATCTGTTGATGACTTTATTATTCAAATAATCTGCGAAACTACTAGACTGAATGCGGTCAAATTTTCGAGTTGACTTAAGAATAAATTTTAGATGATCAAACACCAATTAAAATTACTTTGGTCACCCCCACAAAAAATTTGATTACGTCACCTCAAAATCTAATTATTATTTTCAGTACTTTTTTGCCCAATCAAAGACGGATTAATTAAGTTTCCTGCAATTTTAATGAAACCACAGCCGTATTGTTATTTCTAGTGTTACATTGTACGTATCTACCATAAATGGTGCGTTTATTCCCTCTAAAGCGCTGATGACGTCGGAAAAAATTTAAAATAATCTCACGTGAAACATAGAGCATAGAACAATCAAGCCCCGCCCCTTGATCTGACAACGAATGAAAAATTCATCACGATTAAGATCGAGATGGATGGGTGGAGCTAGTCTTTTGGTTTTCTTTTTTAATAAATACATTTAGTTTTCTTTATATGACACGAGTACTTAAGAACATATTTCATATGGTAATTTCTCGTAGAAAAATAAGGATTTTTCAATTAAGCTCCGCCCCTCGACTTACGACGAATAAAAAAAATCGTTACAATTGAGACAGGGCGGGTGGGCGGGGCTTATATTTTACCTTTTTTCTTAATATACATAGCCATCTTTTCACAACAAGAAAAATTTTTGCAAGGAAATATGGATTTCGCAATATAGGGCAAAATCCATATTTCGTTATACAAATTTTCTATTTTAAACATGTTTTAAGTTTCATGTTGTGAAAAGACGCCTACACTTATTTAAATAACAAGGCAAAATATAAGCCCGCCCACCCACCCTATCTCAATTGTGATGATTTTTTTATTCGCCGTTGATCAAGAGGGCGAAGCTTAACTGCAAAATATTTATTTCTTTACAAGAAATTAAAAACCAGTTTTTGAGTATCGTGTTGTTGAAATATGAATACTATGTATATTAAGAAAAGAAGGCAAAGAATAAAACCCGCCCACCCACCCCATCTCGATTGTGATGATTTTTTTTTATTCTTAGAAAATTAAAACACGTTTAAAATGATAAATTTTGGTAAGGAAATATGGATTTTGCAATTAAGCTGTAATATTTTTTTGACCACTTTGTATATTGAGGCCCAATTTTATTTCTACCACAATAAAGCAACACAAATTTTAGAAATAACAGAATTGTGGTTATAAAGCCTAAGTCAATTAGAATATGTAAAAATATATAGGGTGTTCTACTCGAAAAAACTAAGTTATGTGTTATTTCTTAAAAAAAGAACACTGTGTAGAGTTAAAAGTAATTAGAGTGTATAACTTTACTCTTTAGTTTTTTTTTCTATTTTTAATATTAATGATATCCAGAAATGCGTGCTTAGTGACTCACCCTGTATATATTAATAAATAAATAAATAAATAAATAAATAAATAAATAAATAAATAAATAAATAAATAAATAAATATGTCGTTATTTTGCATATAAAAGTGTGCATTGATTAAGCACAAGGGAAATTTTGAGATGACGTCATCCAGTTTTTGAGGGGAAGAAACAGACCAATTTTGAATAGCGATTTACCAGGTTTTGATAACTTTAAAACGTTTACAAGATCACAGTTAAGTTTCTTAGTTAAATTTCTGTTTTTTTTGTTTTGGATATCTAAGATAAAAACTAAAAAAGGTAAAGGTAGATTCATAGACTAAAGATATATGTTATTTTAAGTAACATTTACTATATAAAACTTTACGGGGAAGTGGTTAAATTGTTGGTAGAGATGGTCAGGCAAATTTTGGTTAACGTTTCACCATCTTTTTACGCTACTCCTAAACTACATCAAAAATTTCACGACAATCAGTCTAGTAGTTTCGGAGATTATCTGTTTAATAAAATGGCCAACAAGCTACAGAAGAAAGACAGATGATAGGCAGATGGAAATGGACGATTTTATTTTTCACATTCTATGACTTATAAAACGCCGAGAAAACTTTAAACCATTATTTAACTTACATATAAAATATATCTTGTGGACTATTGGACCTTTTTCTAGAGACATAAAATAAAATAGTTATTACACTGTCAGTACGATCAAAATGAACCTGTTACAACAATAACTTATAGTTGAAATATTAATAAAGAAATGTGGGTAGTAATTGCCAAGTTAAGAATAATTTTGGCAAATGATATACTCTCTAAGAAAATAGAGGGCGGGTGGGCGGGCCTAGTACTTGACAAGTTAAGACTAACTTTGGCAAATGATATATCCTCTAAGAAAACAAACGGCGGGTGGGTAGGGCTAATAATTGTTAAGTTAAGACTAATTTTTTCAAATGATATATAATAACACACCATAAAATACAATTACACTCAAAACTAGATCGAACTAAGTTTTTGTATTTGTTATTATAAAAAGTAACACTGTACAATCACAGTTTGACCTTTTCTGCTTCAAAATCGCCAGCTTTTCACCAATGATTCCTATAGAGGATCGGTGCAGCAACAGCCTTAAGCCGTAATTAATACTCCTAATTTATTACTAACAGACGAGTGTGTCAGAATTTCATGTTGTATTTTCGTATTCGTATTCACTTGTTGTTTGTTATCGGGCACTTCTGCGGCTATAAAAAATTGAAGCACATCTTCAGCACATAATAAAAGCCGAAAAAACGTTCAAAAAAATAATCCGAATAGTTTACCTACAAACCAAAATTTTATCCTACTCAAAACACATATCATCCTGTATATTAATTTTCATCTCCCGGCCGCAGATTCGCCTTAAGTAACATAAACTTTTGACAGATTAGAGCACTTCCTCTTCTGCGAGCACGTAAGCGCGCCCGATGGTGGATGGTGTAAAGAAGAGGTGTGCTTGGGGGCACAACAATGCTCTCCCGCCGGGAGACAACAATACGTGCCGAGAACATCTGCTATCGCGAAGGGGCGTCTGCGGGGGCGCAGTCTTGGCCCTCGTGCATTCATCAGCGGCGAAACGAAACGCAGTTGCGGTTCCACTCCACTTTCGCTGGTTTTTGCGGACGCCCGTGGAATAATCCGCGTTTAACGCACGATCGGATGTCGCGACGTACTCGACCGCGGAGAAAACGCCCCACATGATGGTGGAAACGTAAGACAAAAGACAGACGACCAATGGGAAGTGGGTGCCTAAGGCTTACCAATCAGGCGCCGTGATCCACACCTGTCCAGGTGAAAGACTTGCATGATAGACGCTTTCTGGCCGGGTGCATGACTCCCGGTCGGTGTTGGGACCGCGGCGCTGGGCCGCTGGTACGTGGTGCGCTGGGCTAGGCGCACGCGATGGGTTGGTGGATGGGGGTGGGATAACGGGGTGGGTTGTGGTGGACGAGGAATTTGTGGCGGAAGTGAGGCGGTGTTGTAGTATTATATAATAAAACTTGATTTCTTTATTTATTTCCTAGTTTATTTCCAACGAGCTAAGCTCAAATATAGGAAATGTGTTGACGTCACCTCAAAATGTTTAATCGTAAATAAGTATTATAATCCTACCACCATTTTTTTGTAAGTGAAGTTCCTTAATTGTGAGCCCACCCCTATTTTATTTTAACACGTTTTTCTTAACAAGAAACTTAAAATATGGTTAAAATGGTTTTTGCAAGGAAATGAGAATTTTGCAATTAGGCTCCGCCCCTAGGTTTTGCCAACGAATGAAAACTTAATTACTATTTAGATCACGGCAGGTATGGGTGGGGCTTACATTTTGTCTTTTTTTTCTTAGTATGTGTAGACTTATTTCGAACAAGAAACATCAAACATGTCTAACATGGTAAATTTTTGTAGTAATCAACTTAAATCCTCCACTTTTCTTCTATAAGCCTTTTAAATACGGCAAAAGTTGAACATCAAAGTTACTATCATATATTGTCATACTCCAGTTTCTCGTTCACTTGTGGCCAGTACTGAAAACACTTGGAGTATTGTTGAGAGTTTAGTACCACTATACGTTTGACGTTCCTTTCGAAAATGTTCCTCCAGAAATGATGTGTCTCACTCAATTTTGGTACCTCAGTTACTAGAAATGCTTTCGGGATCACATTACCCTATAAAACCAACTTTATTTTTCTTCAGAATTGTGTAACTTAGTTTCTTACATTAACAAACGTCATGTCGATGTAATGGAAAAAGTGATTGCCTTCAACCTCGTCGTAAATTTTCTCGGTACTACTGATCGCCTACAAGAAACAGTATAGAAAGTTTACCACCATTTATTAAGCTTTTACCTTAAACTGTTCATTGAGCTCGCCATCACTTTCGGCTTGTTTGACGTAAGTTTGAAAATCTTTAACAGAAATTACCTTGGAAGGGGAAACCGGGTTTAAGTAACTATTTACATTTTTTGTATTTCTTCTAGTTTTTCTTTTTTGACTAGACTTAGATGGTTTCAGTTCTACTGAAGTATGTTCCTACAATGACACTTAATGTAAACACAGCTATTGTACTTTTAATTCTACCTGAATGCCAGGATTGTTCTCTTCAGTTTTGGATTTTAACTGTCTAGGAATGAATTTGCTGATTCCTTGTTTTCGTTTTTTTTGTATAAGCTAGAAAGCTTAGTTATGAAAATTATTTTACAATATTACGAACTTACAAGAATGCGAAAACCAACGGAATGAGAAGCAGAACCAGTAAACTAAGAAGCACTAATCTATTGTATGTAGAAGAACAAGTTGTGTAATAAATTCTGTGACTAGTTTTATTTCTGTTGGTGGTACTTAATATGTAAGTGATGTTATAAGAAGTGTCTGGGATCAGTGGAGGATTTTGTGTTCCCAAAGGTCCGCTACCTATAACAAATGCACATTTTTTTTCACAGTCCAATAGGGCGACTACTTTTCTGTATTTAGAAAAATTGGTAACTATAGATCCAAAAATTTCCAGTTCTGGATGTGCATATAAGTTACCGCTATCGTCTGATATCAGTACCGTCAAATTTTTGGCACTTGTTTCTACTTCTATCGTAATGGTGTAAGTAATCTGTCGGTGTAAGTTTTGCTTCTTTGTACATTTTTTGCTAGTTGTGGTGGACTTAGGTCAATTACGTAATTCCTGTTTGTGCTATAGCTATTGTTAGAATACAGCGTAACCATGTAATAAGTAGATGGTTCAATAGGAAAGTTAACCTAAAAATAAACCATTATAAATTTCTTACATTGAATATTATTACCTTTTTTCTGTAAGTGAAGTTGCTGGTGACTGTTTTTAAAGACAACTTGTCTCTAAAAACAGTATCCGTTTTCTTGCATGTATAATCTCTACATTATTTAGACACTAAAATATCGAAACGGTTAAGTTTGCTTTCGAGTGCGTGTAATATTTTCCATTTTAATAATAATTCGTTGTTGCTTGACCACTTTAGTTCTATATCATAAGGTGGTGAAAATTCGACTACAAAATTTACTATAGTATTACGTAGGAAAGTTTGCGGCAACTATACTACTTCTGTCGCACTGAGGCCCCAAATAGTTTTTAACACAAGTTGAAAGACAAGTACCATTTTTTGCATCACATTTCAAATTACGACTGGTACAATTTCCACATGTCTTGTTGCAGCTAAGTCCATACCGACCTTCAACACAAGCTAAAATTGTACCCATTTAAAACAGTTCAACTGAAACACAGGTAGTACCATCTTGACAACGAGGAAGATTCGTGAACCCTGCGGAACAGCAGCATGCAGTTCTTCCTAATTTATACTCTGTACAAACTCTGATTTTGTCGCAGTTGTGGAATGAATAAATCCAGTGGCATGGGACGCAAAAAGTACCAACTGTGTTCTCTGGGCAGGTGCTTTCTGATATGATATCAATATAGTAAAGTCGAAACTATCGTTTTGAACTTACCAATTTTTGGTTCTGAGTTAGCGGAAGAAACTAGTCTGTAATCTTCGATTATCTGACAGTTAGCTTCTCGGTCAGTTCTTATCCCACGAAATTCTCTTTTCTGGCAAAGTCTAACTTTATCAATTGCCCAAAAATCGCCAGATTTATTGCTTCCTATATTTTGAACTATAAATTTAATTTCAAATCACTGCAAAAACGTTCCGTTTAAAAACAGGAAATACAACATTGACACAGGCCAGCTAAAGTTAATAAATAAAAGAAGTACCACAACAACAGGTATTTTAATGACAAACTTTTTTTTTTACTAAGTATCCTGTAACCTATGGTTTGTTCACCGTTATCGTTCTCAATGTGGGAAAGATTTCGTCATACAAATTTCGGAAATTCGGAAAAACCTGTGAAACAATAACTTCCCGAAAATTTTTCGTTAATGCATGTGGACAAATAGAGGAAAAAGCGTTTATCTATCTATAGAACACTTTATTGACAAGAGATGAGAATTTCAATCCGTAAACTAAATGCCAGAATTTTTGGTTACTTTGAGCGAAAAATAGTGTCTCCAGAAAGACGTCACTAAGTTGTTTTTAAACTTTTACTTTGTCAGCAGTTTGGCTTGTTTGACGTAAGTTTGGAAATACTTATTTAACGGAAATTAGTAACCATCTACATTTTACATAGACGTGCATGGTTCCAGTCCCACTAAATTTTGTTCCTACAATAATCACTTAACATGAACACAGTTATTTGATTTTTAATCCTACCTGTATATCGGGATTTTCGTCCCCACTTCTGAATTTTAATTGTCTGGGAATTAATCTGCTAATTTCTCCTTTTTTTATTTTTTCCCGTAAGCTAGAAAGTTCTGTTATGAAAAGGATTTTACAAAAAAAAAACAACTTACAACCATCCCGCAACCAAAGGAGTGGGAAGCAAAATCAACAAACTAAGAAGCTTCAGTTGGCTGGATGTTGTTGAACAAGTGATATCATAAATTTTGTAACTAGTTTTGTTTCCGTAGGTGATACTTAATATATACGTAATGTTATAAGAAGTGTCTGGTATCAGTGGACGATTCTGTGTTTCCAAAGATCCGTTACCTATAACAACTACACATTTTTCTTTAACCATTAAGGCGGCTACTGTTCTGTATTTAGAAAAATTTCTAACAATTGATCCAAAAACTTCTAGTTCTGGGTGTGCATATAGTTCACCACTATCGTCTGAAATCAGTACCGTCAAATTTTTAGCTGTAGTTTCAAGTTCCATCGTAATAGTACTATCTGTAGAATTAAGTTTAGGTTCTTTGTACTGATGTGGTGGTTCTGGTGGACTTAAGTCAATTTTGTAAGCGCTGTTTGTGCTGTAACTGTTGTTAGAACACAGCGTAACATTGTAATAAGTGGAAGGTTCGAAAGCAAATTGAATCTAAAAATAAATCATCAGAAATTTCTAACACTGAGTATATTACTTTTACTGTGAAAGTGAAGTTGCCGGTATTTGCTTCTACAAGCAATCGACGTTTAACAACAATATTTGTTTGGTTGCATGCAGATCTACATTTAGACACTAAAATATAAAAATTGTTAACTTTGCTTTTCGATCCGTGTAGAATTTTCCATTTTAATAATAATTCTTTGTTGTTTGACCACTTTATTTCTATATCGTAAGGTGGTGAAACTTCGACTAAAAAATTTACTCGGTATAGTATTACGGATGAAAGTTTACGACGGGTACTACTTCTGTCGCACTGAGGCCCCAAATAGTTTTTACTACAAGTTGAAAGACAAGTACCATTTTTTGCATCGCAGTTAAAATTGCGACTCGTACAGTCTCCACATGTCTTGTTGCAGCTAAGTCCATACAGCCCGTCAGCACAAACTAAAATTTGACTCATTTAAAATAGTTCAAATGCAACACAAGTAGTACCATCTTGACAACCAGGAACATTCGTGAACCCTGCGGAACACCAGCAGGCAGTTTTTCTTAATTTATATCCTGTACAAACTCTGATTTTGTCGCAGTTGTTGTACGGGTAGATCCAGAGGCATGGAACGCAAAAGGTACCAACCGTGTTTTCCGGGCAGGTGCTTTCTGATATGATATCAATGCAGTAAAGTGGAAACTATCGTTTTAAACTTACCAATTTTTGGTTCTGACATAGCAGAAGAAACTAGTGTGTTATCTTCAACTAGCTGACATTTAAACTCACGGTCAGTTCTTATAACACGAAATTCTGTCTTCTGGCAAAGTCTAACTTTATCAATTGCCCAAAAATCGTCTGATTTATTTCCTCCTATAGTAGAAACGAATAAATGTGCTGAGTCGACAACGATGTTTTCAATTATAAATTTAATTTCAAACCACTGCAACAATGTTTCGTTTACACTGAAAATACTAAATTGACACATTTTACCTTCTTTTTCTTATTTTGTAAACGATACGTTTCTTGCTTTAGTAACAAGTTGTCTGATTTTAATTTCAGTTTCAACTGACAAGATCCACACATTGACACTATCATTGAAATACAAGTAAAATTGTTTTTAATGTCTATACGAGGTCCCAGTTGAGTATCATTTGTTTCTTCATCCGTGTAAATGTAGTCAACTGAAAATGATACATTTAGGGTTTTCACTGACATCAATATTTTCTTACTTTCGTGAATTTTCCATAAACCGGAGGACAATCCACTGTATATCCACATTTCAGTAATTTCATCTGTGTAATTTTCTCGCTGCAGATGTACATCACCTTTTTCATTTTGCAAATATATACCATCTCCTTTCCTAAACAGCTTAAAATGTGCCCAGTAATTTCTGTCAGGTAAGGTAATGGACTGAATAATTATGTGTATTAGTGGGTACTTGAATAAATTTTTAGTCAGCCAAATAGTGAGCATTGAATTTCTATTGACTGGAAGTCACTAATAATAAATTATAGCCCTGACCTCCCCTCCGATTGCTTGCCTCAGAAGGACAAAGATTCCATGAATTAGATGTTCACTATTTGGCAGATTTTAATTTATGAATTGTTTAGACGAAACGTTTTCGAATTCTACTTACATTGATTCTAAACTGCCATAGTTTAAGAAGCAAACAAGATGAGCGTATAGAATTACATAGATGAATGTAACCTGCAGGCTCAGTGCGAACAGATATGGCCAGGACAAAATTGGGTCTTAAATTATGGATAACTGGAACGTGGCCGGAGACAGGAGGGGTGAAAATTGTCTTCATTTCTAAAAATCGGGATAAATAGGTAAATGTGACTTCGAGTACGTTAATCACTTGCCTTCCCATCGTCTGTCTACAATTATTTCGTTACTAATGCTTGAGTTCCGACTTGTTTTTAAAGCCCATGGTTTGATTTCGTAGAAAGTTTTGGTTTTGTTGTCATCTGTGATCTCACAGTCAAAACTGTTAGGTGGTGAATTTGGAATATAGTGTGATACTATATTAAACAAAAGTGGTAAAAAAGCGTGAAAGTAAAAATAAACAAAGCAAAATAATAAAAACTGGCAGCTTGGAAAATAAACATATTCCACAGTTCTTTTAGTTTCTAAGTTAAATTGTAAAATTTTAATCTTTTTTTGACAATCTTTTTAGTTTCTTTAGCTTACGCCCAAGAACTAAAAAATAATTGCCAAATATCTAGTACTTTAATACTGTACCTAAAATTAAATTTTAATGCAATAAGTAATCTATATAGATATGTATAGGTATGTACCGTAATTAGTCTGGGCACCGGCACCGCTGAAATAATTCCAGCTTAGGGCCGAACTACTGTTGGTCACACACACAAGGTCCGATCCGTTCTTAACCACAAAAATATCTTGACATAAAGACACTCGACTTAATGTTAATAAATAAAAGAAGTAGCAAAAACATAACAACATGATTAGAAAAGAAGACGACAACAATAGATATTTTAATGAATTTAAAACTTTATCTTTTTGTTTCACTGACTGTCATCCTGTAGTCTGTGGTTTGTTCACCACTATCACTCGCAATGTGGGAGAGTTATCGTCATATTTGAGGAAAATTAAGGAAAAAAGCGTAAATTTAAGCTTTTTACTTTCCGTGCAAAATAGGATTCTTTGGCCAGTAGCTATTTTCATGTTTTCTGAACGTTTTATGTAGATGGTAAACCGCAAACCAAACTTCATCTAAACATGCCCACGATCGATATGTTGATGTCAGCTGAAAATGTTTCACGTAAATGTTTTTCAAATTTTACAAAATCCTACAGATGTGGTTTATGAAACCGCCTGGATTTTTTGCCCTAGATCTTTTCAAACTAGACAATTTTTTTGTAAGTGATGTTGTTTAATAGTGAGTCCACCTTTGAAATTTATTACAAAATTATTTATTTATTATACAACGCTACATTGCACTACCACACATTTCGTGGACTACATTAGTTCACAAGCACTCTTTGTAATTACAGAACTAAATAAGTGTTATTTTAAGTTGTTATAGACTCGTGTCAGATTAGAAGCCAACTCGGCTCCAAAAATGTACTCCGAAATAACCATATAACTTAATTTGTACAAATGCAGATCATCCACGAGATATGCCACCTGATCACTCAGCCTTTTTAAATTACTTAACACATCCACAACACTTTCTTCTCTAGCCATCCTGATGCTCATATCGCACAGTAAAACAAACCCTATTCTGCTAACTGAATCACTAAAAAAAATCTGCATTAAAAATTCCTTTCGATTATTTTACAAACCTGGTGTGTATTAAAATAGACGAATTGGGGTTTATAGCATATTCGGAAAGCTTTTTGAAAAACGAGACATAGCTTTTCGGATCTGTTCCACTGTATCACTGTAATAGAAACTTATATGGTTGACCTAAAAATATCCACTTGAAGCTAACGGTAAAGCTACACATCTTCACTTACGTATCTTTTCATTTCATTGTGAACCAAAATGAACCTTCTCACTTCATAGTGAAGAAAATTTTGTTGCGAAAAAAGTTGTATGGATGTTGTCGTACTCCAGCTTCTCGTTCACTTGTGGCCAGTACTGAAAACACTAGGAGTTCTCTCGAGAGTTCAAGTACCACTATATGTTTGACGTTCCCTTCGAAAATGTTCCTCCAGAAATGGTGTGTCTCGCTCAGTTTTGCAACCTCAGTTACTAGAAATACTTTCGGGATCACATTACCTTATAAAACCAACTTTATTTTTCTTCAGAATTGTGTAACTTAGTTTCTTACATTCACAAATGTCATGTCGATGTAATGGAAAAAGTGATTGCCTTCAACCTCGTCGTAAATTTTCTTGGTACTACTGATCGCCTACAAGAAACAGTATAGAAAGTTTACGACCATTTATTAAGCTTTTACCTTAAACTGTTCATTGAGCTCGCCATCACTTTCGGCTTGTTTGACGTAAGTTTGAAAATCATTAACAGACATTACCCTGGAAAAGGAAATCGGGTATAAGTAACTATTTACATTTTTTGTTTTTCATCTAGTTCTTCTTTTTTGACTAGACTTAGATGGTTCAAGCTCTACTGAAGTACATTCCTGCAATGACACCTAATGTAAACACAGCTATTGTTCTTTTAATTCTACCTGAATGCCAGGATTGTTCTCTTCAGTTTTGGATTTTAACTGTCTAGGAATGAATTTGCTGATTCCTTGTTTTCGTTTTTTTTTTTTGTATAAGCTAGAAAGCTTCGTTATGAAAATTACTTTACAATATTACGAACTTACAAGAATGCGGAAACCAACGGAATGAGAAGCAGAACCAGTAAACTAAGAAGCACTAATCTACTGTATGTAGAAGAACAAGTTGTGTAATAAATTCTGTGACTAATTTTATTTCTGTTGATGGTACTTAATATGTAAGTGATGTTATAAGAAGTGTCTGGGATCAGTGGAGGATTTTGTGTTCCCAAAGGTCCGCTACCTATAACAAATGCACTTTTTTTTTCACAGTCCATTAGGGCGACTACTTTTCTGTATTTAGAAAAATTGGTAACTATAGATCCAAAAATTTCCAGTTCTGGATGTGCATATAAGTTACCGCTATCGTCTGATATCAGTACCGTCAAATTTTTGGCACTTGTTTCTAGTTCTATTATGGTAATGGTACTATCTTTCCGTGCAAGTTTTGCTTCTTTGTACATATTTGGTAGGTCTGGTGGACTTTGGTCAATTACGTAATTCCTGTTTGTGCTATAGCTATGTTAGAATACAGCGTAACCATGTAATAAGTAGATGGTTCAATAGGAAAGTTAACCTAAAAATAAACCATAATAAATTTCTTACATTGAATATTATTACCTTTTTTCTGTAAGTGAAGTTGCTGGTGACTGTTTTTACAGACAACTTGTCTCTAAAACAGTATCCGTTTTCTTGCATGTATAATCTCTACATTTTGACACTAAAATATCGAAACGGTTAAGTTTCCTTTCGAGTCCGTGTAATATTTTCCATTTTAATAATAATTCGTTGTTGCTTGACCACTTTAGTTCTATATCATAAGGTGGTGAAACTTCGACTACAAAATTTACTATAGTATTACGTAGGAAAGTTTGCGGCAACTATACTACTTCTGTCGCACTGAGGCCCCACATAGTTTTTAACACAACTTGAAAGACAAGTACCATTTTTTGCATCACATTTCAAATTACGACTGGTACAATTTCCACATCTCTTGTTGCAGCTAAGTCCATACCGACCTTCAGCACAAGCTAAAATTTTACTCATTTAAAACAGTTCAACTGAAACACAGGTAGTACCGTCTTGACAACGAGGAAGATTCGTGAACCCTGCGGAACACCAGCATGCAGTTCTTCCTAATTTATACTCTGTACAAACCCTGATTTTGTCGCAGTTGTGGGATGGATAGATCCAGTGGCATGGGACGCAAAAAGTACCAACTATCGTTTTAAACTTACCAATTTTTGGTTCTGAGTTAGCGGAAGAAACTAGTGTGTTATCTTCGACTAGCTGACATTTAGCTTCTCGGTCAGTTCTTATCTCACGAAATTCTCTTTTCTGGCAAAGTCTAACTTTATCAATTGCCCACAAATCGCCTGATTTGTTTCTTCATATATTTTGAACTATAAATTTAATTTCAAATCACTACAAAAACGTTTCGTTTAAAAATAGAAAATACAAAACTGACACATTTTAGGCCAGCTAAAGTTAGTAAATAAAAAAAGTACCAAAAATAAAACAACATATATAGAAAGAAAGACCACAACAACAGATATTTTAATGACAAACTTTTTTTTTGCTAACTATCCTGTAACCTGTGGTTTGTTCACCGTTATCGTTCTCAATGTGGGAAAGATTTCGTCATATTTCGGAAATTCGGAAAAACTTGTGAAACAATAACTTCCCGAAAATTTTTCGTTAATGCACGTGGACAAATAAAAGAAAAAGCGTTTATCTATCTATAGAACACTTTATTGACAAGAGATGACAATTTCAATCCGTAAAATAAATGCCCGAATTTTTGCTTACTTTGAGCGAAAAATAGTGTCTCGAGAAAGACGTCGTTGTTTTTAAACTTTTACTTTGTCAACACTTTGTCTTGTTTGTCGCAAGTTTGGAAATATTTAACGGAAATTAGTAACCATATACATTTTACATACACGTGGATGGTTCCAGTCCCACTAAACTTTGTTCCTACAATAAACACCTAACATAAACATAGTTAATTGACTTTTAGTCTTACCTGTGTATCAGGATGTTCGTCCCCACTTCTGAATTTTAGTTGTCTGGGAATTAATCTGCTGATTTCTCCTTTTTTTATTTTTTCCCGTAAGCTAGAGAGTTCTGTTATGAAAAAAATTTTACAAAAAAAAAAACAACTTACAACCATCCCGCAACCAAAGGAGTGGGAAGCAAAATCAACAAACTAAGAAGCTTCAGTTGGCTGGATGTCGTTGAACAACTGATATCATAAATTTTGTAACTAGTTTTGTTTCCGTAGGTGGTACTTAATATATACGTAATGTTATAAGAAGTGTCTGGTATCAGTGGACGATTCTGTGTTTCCAAAGATCCGTTACCTATAACAATTACACATTTTTCTTTAACCATTAAGGCGGCTACTGTTCTGTATTTAGAAAAATTTCTAACAATTGATCCAAAAACTTCTAGTTCTGGATGTGCATACAGTTCACCACTATCGTCTGAAATCAGTACCGTCAAATTTTTAGCTGTAGTTTCAAGTTCCATTGTAATAGTACTATCTGTAGAATTAAGTTTAGGTTCTTTGTACTGATATGGTGGTTCTGGTGGACTTAAGTCAATTTTGTAAGCGCTGTTTGTGCTGTAACTGTTGTTAGAACACAGCGTAACATTGTAATAAGTGGAAGGTTCGAAAGGAAACTGAATCTAAAAATAAATCATCAGAAATTTCTTACACTGAGTATATTACTTTTACTGTGAAAGTGAAGTTGCTGGTATTTGCTTCTACAAGCAATCGACGTTCAACAACAATATTCGTTTGGTTGCATGCAGATCTACATTTAGACACTAAAATATAAAAATTGTTAAGTTTGCTTTTCGATCCGTGTAGAATTTTCCATTTTAATAAGAATTCTTTGTTGTTTGACCACTTTATTTCTATATCGTAAGGTGGTGAAACTTCGACTAAAAAATTTACTAGGTATAGTATTACGGATGAAAGTTTACGACGGGTACTACTTCTGTCGCACTGAGGCCCCAAATAGTTTTTACTACAAGTTGAAAGACAAGTACCATTTTTTGCATCGCAGTTAAAATTGCGACTCGTACAGTCTCCACATGTCTTGTTGCAGCTAAGTCCATACACCCCGTCAGTACAAACTAAAATTTGACTCATTTAAAATAGTTCAATTGCAACACAAGTAGTACCATCTTGACAACCAGGAAGATTCGTGAACCCTGCGGAACACCAGCAGGCAGTTTTTCTTAATTTATATCCTGTACAAACTCTGATTTTGTCGCAGTTGTTGTATGGGTAGATCCAGAGGCATGGAACGCAAAAGGTACCAACCGTGTTCTCCGGGCAGGTGCTTTCTGATATGATATCAATGCACTAAAGTGGAAACTATCGATTTAAACTTACCAATTTTTGGTTCTGAGATAGCAGAAGAAACTAGTGTGTTACTTTCAACTAGCTGACACTTGAACTCGCGGTCAGTTCTTATCACACGAAATTCTGTCTTCTGGCAAAGTCTAACTTTATCAATTGCCCAAAAATCGTCTGATTTATTTCCTCCTACAGTAGAAACGAATAGATGTGCTGAGTCGACAACGATGTTTTCAACTATAAATTTAATTTCAAACCACTGCAACAATGTTTCGTTTACACTGAAAATGCTAAATTGACACATTTTACCTTCTTTTTCTTATTTTGTAGACGATACGTTTCTTGCTTTAGTAACAAGTTGTCTGATTTTAATTTCAATTTCAACTGACAAGATCCGCACATTGATACTATCATTGAAATACAAGTAAAATTGTCTTTAATGTCTATACGAGGTCCCAGTTGAGTATCATTTGTTTCTTCATCCGTGTAAATGTAGTCAACTAAAAATGCTACGTTTAGTGTTTTCACTGACATCAATATTTTCTTACTTTCGTGAATTTTCCATAAACCGGAAGAAAATCCACTGTGTACCCACATTTGAGTAATTTCATCTGTGTAATCTTCTCGCTGCAAATGTACATCACCTTTTTCATTTTGCAAATATATACCATCTCCTTTCCTAAACAGCTTAAAATGTGCCCAGTAATTTTCGTCAGGTAACGTAATGGACTGAATAATTATGTGTATTAGTAGGTACTTGGATAAATTTTTAGTCCACCAAATAGTGAGCATTGAATTTCTATTGATTGCCTAAGAAGAACAAAGGTTCCCTGAATTAGATGTTCACTATCTGGCGGACATTAATTTATGAATCTTTTAGACGAGACGTTGTCGAATTCTACTTACACTGATTCTAAACTGCCACAATTTAAAAAGCAAACAAGATGACCTTAGAGAATTACATAGCTCAATGTAACCCGCAGGGTCAGTGCGAACGGATATGGCAAGATCAAAATTGGGTCTTAAATTTCGCATAACGGGAATGTAGCCGGAGGCAGGAGGAGTGTAAATTGTGTTCATTTCTAAAAAACGGGATAAATAGGTAAATGTGACTTCGAGTACGTTAATCACTTGCCTTCCCATCGTCTGTCTACAATTATTTCGTTACTAATGCTTGAGTTCCTACTTGTTCTCAAAGCCCATGGTTTGATTTCGTAGAAAGTTTTGGTTTTGTTGTCATCTGTGATCTCACAGTCAAAACTGTTAGGTGGTGAATTTGGGATATACTGTGATACTATAATGAACAAAAGTAATGAAAAAGCGTGAAAGTAAAAATAAACAAAGCAAAATAATAAAAACTGGCAGCTTGGAAAATAAACTTATTCAGTTGTTTTAATTTCTAAGTTAAATTGGAATGTTTTAATCTTTTTTTACGCCCAAGAACTAAAAAAAATTGTCAAATATCTACCACTATAATACTGTACCTAAAATTAATTTTTAATGAAATAAGTAATCTATAGATATGTACAGGTATGTACCGTAATTAGACTGGGCACCGCCACCGCTGAAAAAATTCCAACTTAGGGCCGAACTGCTGTTGGTCACACACACAAGGTCCGATCCGTTCTTTACCACAAAAATATCTTGACATAAAGACACTCGACTTAATGTTAATAAATAAAAGAAGTAGCAAAAACATAACAACATGATTAGAAAAGAAGACGACAACAATAGATATTTTAATTAATTTAAAACTTTATCTTTTTGTTTCACTGACTGTCATCCTGTAGTCTGTGGTTTGTTCACCACTATCATTCGCAATGTGGGAGAGTTATCGTCGGAAAATTAAGGAAAAAAGCGTAAATTTAACCTTTTTACTTTCCATGCACAATAGGATTCTTTGGCCAGTAGCTACTTTCATGTTTTCTGAACGTTTTATGTAGATGGTAAACCGCAAACCAAACTTCATCTAATCATGCTCACAATCGATATGTTGACGTCAGCTGAAAATGTTTCACGTAAATGTTATTCAAATTTTACAAAATCCTACAGATGTGGGTTATGAACCCGCCTTGATTTTTTGCCCTAGATCTTTTCAAAGTAGACAATCTTTTTGTAAGTGATGTTGTTTAATAGTGAGTCCACCTCCGAAATTTATTACAAAATTATTTATTTATTATACAACGCTACATTGCACTACCACACATTTCGTGGACTACATTAATTCACAAGCACCCTTTGTAAATACAGAACTAAATAAGTGTTATTTTAAGTTGTTATAGACTCGTGTCAGATTAGAAGCCAACTCGGCTCCAAAAATGTACTCCGAAATAACCATATAACTTAATTTGTACAGATGCAGATCATCCACGAGATATGCCACCTGATCACTCAGCCTTTTGAAATTACTTAACACATCCACAACACTTTCTTCCCTAGCCATCCTGATGCTCATATCGCACAGCAAAACAAACCCTATTCTACTAACTGAATCACTAAAAAAAATCTGCATTAAAAATTTCTTTCGATTATTTTACAAACCTGGTGTGTATTAAAATAGACGAATTGGGGTTTATAGCATATTCGGAAAGCTTTTTGAAGAACGAGACATAGCTTTTCGGATCTGTTCCACTGTAATAGAAACTTATATGGTTGACCTAAAAATATCCACTTGAAGCTAACGTTAAAGCTACGCATCTTCACTTACGTATCTTTTCATTTCATTGTGAACCAAAATGAACCTTCTCACTTCATAGTGAAGAAAATTTTGTTGCGAAAAAAGTTGTATGGATATGTTGTCGTACTCCAGCTTCTCGTTCACTTGTGGCCAGTACTGAAAACACTTGGAGTTTTCTCGAGAGTTCAGTACCACTATATGTTTGACGTTCCCTTCGAAAATGTTCCTCCAAAAATGATGTGTCTCGCTCAATTTTGGTACCTCAGTTACTAGAAATGCTTTCGGGATCACATTACCCTATAAAACCAACTTTATTTTCCTTCAGGATTGTGTAACTTAGTTTTTTACATTGACAAACGTCATGTCGATGTAATGGAAAAAGTGATTGCCTTCAACCTCGTCGTAAATTTTCTTGGCACTACTGATCGCCTACAAAAAACAGTATAGAAAGTTTACGACCACTTATTAAACTTTTACCTTAAACTGTTCGTTGAGCTCGCCATCACTTTCGGCTTGTTTGACGTAAGTTTGAAAATTTTTAACAGAAATTACCTTCGAAGGGGAAACCGGGTTTAAGTAACTATTTACATTTTTTGTTTTTCTTGTAGTTTTTCTTTTTTGACTAGACTTAGATGGTTTAAGTTCTACTGAAGTATGTTGCTGCAAAGGCACTTAATGTAAACACAGCTATTGTACTTTTAATTCTACCTGAATGCCAGGATTGTTTTCTTCAGTTTTGGATTTTAACTGTCTAGGAATGAATTTGCTGATTCCTTGTTTTCGTTTTTTTTTACATAAGCTAGAAAGCTTCGTTATGAAAATTATTTTACAATATTACGAACTTACAAGAATGCGGAAACCAACGGAATGAGAAGCAGAACCAGTAAACTAAGAAGCACTAATCTATTGTATGTAGAAGAACAAGTTGTGTAATAAATTCTGTGACTAGTTTTATTTCTGTTGGTGGTACTTAATATGTAAGTGATGTTATAAGAAGTGTTTGGGATCAGTGGAGGATTTTGTGTTCCCAAAGGTCCGCTACCTATAACAAATGCACATTTTTTTTCACAGTCCATTTGGGCGACTACTGTTCTGTATTTAGAAAAATTGGTAACTATATATCCAAAAATTTCCAGTTCTGGATGTGCATATAAGTTACCGCTATCGTCTGATATCAGTACCGTCAAATTTTTGGCACTTGTTTCTAGTTCTATCGTAATGGTACTATCTGTCGGTGTAAGTTTTACTTCTTTGTACATATTTGGTAGTTCTGGTGGACTTAGGTCAGTTACGTAATTGCTCTTTGTGCTATAGCTATTGTTAGAATACAGCGTAACCATGTAATAAGTAGATGGTTCAATAGGAAAGTTAACCTAAAAATAAACCATAATAAATTTCTTACATTGAATATTATTACCTTTTTTCTGTAAATGAAGTTGCTGGTGACTGTTTTTACAGACATCTTGTCTCTAAAAACAGTATCCGTTTTCTTGCATGTATAATCTCTACATTTAGACACTAAAATATTGAAACGGTTAAGTTTGCTTTCGAGTGCGTGTAATATTTTCCATTTTAATAATAATTCGTTGTTACTTGACCACTTTAGTTCTATATCATAAGGTGCTGAAACTTCGACTACAAAATTTACTATATAGTATTACGTAGGAAAGTTTGCGGCAACTATACTACTTCTGTCGCACTGAGGCCCCACATAGTTTTTAACACAAGTTGAAAGATAAGTACCATTTTTTGCATCACATTTCAAATTACGACTGCTACAGTTTCCACATGTCTTGTTGCAGCTAAGTCCATACCGACCTTCAGCACAAGCTAAAATTTTACCCATTTAAAACAGTTCAACTGAAACACAGGTAGTACCATCTTGACAACGAGGAAGATTCGTCAACCCTGCGGAACACCAGCATGCAGTTCTTCCTAATTTATACTCTGTACAAACCCTGATTTTGTCGCAGTTGTGGGATGGATAGATCCAGTGGCATGGGACGCAAAAAGTACCGACTGTGTTCTCTGGGCAGGTGCTTTCTGATATGATATCAATGCAGTAAAGTGGAAACTATCGTTTTGAACTTACCAATTTTTGGTTCTGAGTTAGCAGAAGAAACTAGTGTGTAATCTTCGACTAGCTGACATTCAGCTTCTCGGTCAGTTTTTATCACACGAAATTCTCTTTTCTGGCAAAGTCTAACTTTATCAATTTTCCAAAAATCGCCTGATTTATTTCTTCCTATAGTAGAAACGAATAAATGTGCTGAGTCGACAACGATGTTTTCAACTGTAAATTTAATTTCAAACCACTGTAACAATGTTTCGTTTAATAACAGAAAACACAAAACTGACGCATTTTACCTTTTTCTGGTTATTTTGTGGTTGGTAAGTTTCTTCTTTTAGTAACAAATTATCTGATTTTAATTTTAATTTCAGCTGACAAGACTCACACATTGATACTAACATTGAAATGCAAGTAAAATTGTCTTTAATGTCTATAGGAGGTCCCAGTCGAGTATCATTTGTTTCTTTCTCCGTGTAAATGTAGTCAACTAAAAATGATGCATTCAGTGCTTTCTCTAACATCAATTTTTTTTTTACTTTCGTGAATTTTCCAAAGACCGGGAGCGGATCGGCTTTGGACAAGCATGTGACTATTATCAGACACGTTATGTCGTAGCTCCAAAATTATTTCACCTTTTGCATTTTTCAAAGACGTATCATTTCCTTTCTTGCTCAATGTAAAATGTGTCCAGTAATTTTCGTCAAGTAAGTTATATGACTGAGTATTTAAAAGATCAGTAGATATGTTACAGCTAACATCCGAAATCCGTTATTATGCATAATAACTAGACATTTTAGGAATTATGCGTAATAACTAAACTTATCAGTTATTATGCATAATAACCGGAAACATTAGGAATTATGCGTAATAACTGAAATTTTTAGTTATTACGCGTAATAACGGAAACGTTTAGGTAATATTGATAATAAAATAACTAACACAGAAACAGGAATTATGCATAATATTTTCCAAAAAGCTACCCACCCTGCCCCACTTTCCCCTACATATCACATGTACAGTTGATTAAAAAAAAAAAAAGGACAAATTACAGTTATATAAACGTCATATTCCCATTGCTTTTCGATCTATGAGAACCTGAATTGCTCATCTTGTCCCATTTTTTTGAAATCAGCTGGACATGTTCTAAGCCTTTGAAAATGGTAAAAAGTGAAAAAAAATTAGAACAGGATGATACCCACTGGAAAAGGAAGAAAATATAACAAAAATAAAAGGAAAAATAATTTACGGGCGATCTGAGGTCCGGAAGGGGAAGAGGGTGAGCTTTTAAGGGTAGAAAACGGATTATCACGATTTCCGGCAAAAGTCCTATCGCAAAAAGTTAAATGGCAAAGTTGTAGGTAATAAAAAGATCTACAACTTTTGTATTTACACCTTCTTTCCTCAAAGTTTATGCGAAAAATGCAAATAACCGAGTTTTTGGTTTTTTATTTTTATCTCCCACAAAAAAAAATTTTTTCACGAAATTTGGTGAAAACTTACATATTTATGTCCCAAACTCACTGTAATTTTTTTTGATTCAAAGTATTTATTTTTTCCCTTATTTTGATTTAATATCGAAAAACTACCCTAATTTTCAATTGAAAATTCTCACGTCAAAATATTTTCTTTTAAAAAAAAATCGGTGTGCTTTTTGTTCGCTGAAATCTCTAGTTTCTGAAGGTGTAAAAAAAATTATACATTACTATGGCAAATTTTCACAGGAAATGCAAAAAAACGAAAAAACTCGAATTCAAAAATTTGGAGCTATTTATTAAAATATACACGTTAATTACTCGAAAAACGTAATATTTCATGTTACATTGATAAATTAAAAAATTGCAAATCGAAATATACTACTATAATTAACAACCAAATAAGTTAATACAGTTAATACTTTACAAGACATCTACAATATTTTGTTGAAGTTGTAGGATAATTTTTAAATTATATGCTTAAGTGCCTATTTATTGCTATTTTAAGATAACTCACATACTTGAATGGCCTAAGGAAAATTTTTGCCCATCAGAAGAATGAACAACATCGTCTATAAAAATACAAGTGCAGGCTGAGTTACTTGAAGAGAATCGTGACGAATTGATTTATTTAAAAGAAACTTTTGGAATCTACAGTCACAAGGATTTTCCTGTAAACAAGCAGAAGAAGATGCTGATGCTGACATAATTAAGATCTCGATAGAAACTGCCAGAGATACTAATAAAACTGTCATAGTTGTGGGTCAAGATATTTTGGTCCTTTTGAATCAATTGAATTCAAATAATTATGACATTTATTTTCTCAAACCAGGTTCTGGAAATGTAAAAGATTTATTTTTCACGTCCAATAGTTTCAAATATGAATCTTTCAAAAATATAGTTGCATTTCTATATTGTTTTTCTGGTTGCGATACAACATCTGGGTTTGCCGGAAAAGGAAAGAAAAACATCGTAAATTCATTGTTTTCTAATAGATAAAATTCTCGTGTCACAGTGTGTGTAACCAAACTCTTCCGAAACGGTTTGACTGATTTTTATGAAATTTTCTGTCTATATTCGGTAGGTCTGAGAATAGGTCGTAAACTATTTTTTATACCCCTAGGTGATAAGGGTGGCCCACCCAAAAATTTTTTTTTTATTTTTCGGACAAAATTTGTTATTTTTTTAAGATTTGGCTTCAAAAAATACATATAACCCTAAATTTTCACCTTTCTACCACCAACCCCCATTTTGTAGTAACTATATTAGTATCATTACTTTCATCCACAGATACGCAAGGCAGGGTTCAAGATGGCTGTTGAATATAATCATTGTCGTACGATAAATTTGTATGTATAATTTATAATTTAATTTAATTATAATTTATTTATTTGTTTTGATTTAATTTTTTGTTTAACTACTAAAATATTCACTGGGTCTGCTAGTCAGACGATAAAAATTTGTCAAATTTGGCCAATATTTTTTATAAAAAACTTGCAAACGAAGACGATATCGCAAAAACATGGATTACAATTAATCAAATATATTTATAAATGCAAAAATGACAATATAACACTGAATCAATTAAGATTTCGAAAATCAATTGGCAAGAATTAAATCATCTTTCATAATTACAAATCTCCCACCAAGAGAAGGCGTTCGTTTCATGGATTTTAAATTTTTGAGTTTATCAGTGTAACATGGAATCTTACTTTTTTCGAGTAATTAAAGTGTAAATTTTAATAAATAGCTCAAAATTTTACATGATAAAAAAAAATTCGAATTCGAGTTTTTCGTTTTTTTGGATTTCCTGTGAAAATTTGCCAGAGTAATGTATACCTTTTTTTATACCATCAGAAAGTAGAGATTTCAACGAACAAAAAGCACACCGATTTTTTTTAAAAAGCAAACATTTTGACGTGAGAATTTTCGATTGAAAATTAGGGTGGTTTTTCGATATTAAATCAAAATAAGGGAGAAAAATAAATATCTTGAATCAAAAAAATTACAGTGATTTTGGGAGATAAATAGGTAAGTTTTCACCAAATTTCGTGAAAAAAAAAAACTTTTTTGTGGGGGATAAAAATAAAAAAGCAAAAACTCGGTTATTTTCATTTTTCACATAAATTTTGAGGTTATTTAAAAAAGTCTAAATACAGAAGTTGTAGATCCTTTTATTACCTAGAACTTTGCCATTTAACTTTTTTCGATAGGACTTGTAGTTTTGCCGGAAATCGTGATAAACCGTTTTCTACCCTTAAAAGCTTACCCTCTTCCACTTCCCAACCTCAGATCGCCTGTAAATTATTTTTCCTTTTATTTTTGTTATATTTTCTTCCTTTTCCAATGGGTATCATCCTATTCTAAATTTTTTTGTTCTCAAAAATTATCGGCCCTGGCTTATTAGGCAATATACTTAATGACTAATATTATGCATAATTCCTGTTCCTCTGTTAGTTATTATCAATATTACCTAAACGTTTCCGTTATTGTGCATAATAACTGAAAAATTCAGTTATTACGCATAATTCCTAATGTTTCCGGTTATTATGCATAATAACGTATTTCGGATATTAGCTGTAACCGATACATTTTACCCACAATTATACATGCACTTACGACGTTTTTGTGTAATAGGTCCACACAGATTGGAGCATTGGTTGCATCAAGTTGCTCATTGTCCTGTCGACATTTTTTAACAGAGCTTACGTTCATTTCAAACTCCTTTAGGACGAACAGCAAACAAGTTGATCTTGGAGGATCTGGTCCATTACAGAGGTAAATGTAAGCTGCACGTTTAGTTCTAATAGACATTGGAATATCAAAATTGGGTCCTAAATTTCGCACTGGAACATACTCCTGTCTAGTAGTGGTCGAAAATATTTTCATTTCTAAAAAACAGCAAAGTAAATCTCTAGAGTGGCATCGAGTATGATAATCACCTTCCCATCGTCTGTCTAAAATTATTTCGTTACTGATCTTTGTTTTCAAAGTCCATGGTTTGATTTCGTAGTAATTTTTGGTTTGCATGTCATATTCTTTAATGTCACAGTCAAAACTGGTTGATGGGTTAGGAATATATTGTGATACTACAACGAACAAAAGAAATTACGTAATCAATACGTATCGTTGCACCTACCATAATTAACATCGGATTTATTTTCGATTTCAGAGTTCCAACTTAGCCCAGAACTGCTGTTAGTCACACACACAACATCACACCCTTTCGTGGTGACAAAAATATTTTGACAGAAAGACACTCCACTTATTGTTAATAAATAAAACAAGCAGCAAAAATACAACAACATGCTTGGAAAGAAAGACAATAATTACTACTTTAATGACACAAACTTTATCTGCTTAAGTATCCTGTATCCTGTGGTTTGTCCACCGCTGTCACTCTTGTGTGGGAAAGTTGCATGAGCTATCACTAAAATCGTCATATTTCGGAAAAACTTGCGAAACGTCACTGCGTAAATAAACAATAACTTCCTCATCAACATTTTTGACTCAACAGAAAAAGAAAATTGAGCGAAGTGATTTAAAGACAATTCAATCGGAAGTGGTCCCAGCCTCGAAATCCTCGAGATACCTCAAGTTCTTCTGTGCCCGCCTCATTGGTTATTCACGCCGAAATGCCAACGTCCAGTCAAGATTTTATGTTACAGTTGATTTATTTTACGACGCGGCCTCATCCGCTTTATTTCTCTTTTTCGAATAATCGTAAACCCCCAATAAAACCCCATTCCATTATCCGTATTCCAGGTACGTTTCCGAATTTCAAAGCCGGCAGTTCTGCTGCCTTAATTAACGACAATCTAGATAAGTGTGATCGGTTACCCAAAAGATGACCTACAAGATAAGAAAATCTATTTAGCGAGATCTCGGCACGACAAAGGAATGCCTCAAATAACAAACATCCATCCGGACACTTCCATAGTCGCCTCGAATAACCTGCCAAGATAAACATCTCCTGTTCAAAAAGCTAATCTGGTCTGGATTTTTTCGACGTCTTGTGCGTGATGCGAACTTTTTTCATTAACAATGACGGTAATTCCTTTGTATCGAGGCTTGTCGAGTGGTTTTTGTTGACACTGTGTTGGCAGGAATTGTTTGGGGGTTGTTAGTGGCACGTGCCTGATGAGTAGCTATTCACTCAAATTCGAGGACGCGGACAATGGGACTCAATTAGGCGAGTCTGATGCATAATCGCTTATCACCTGATTATCGTCTGGGGCCACGGGAGAGCGATCCACTCAGACAATTTGCTTCTTTTGATCGGAGAGGAGAGAGTGAGTTCTGCGGGATTTTGCCGATGGGGCGATCGAGTGCCTACTTTCCCTGATAACAGCGATAATGATCGGGAGAAATATGGGGATTTCGTGATGGTGTTACATGGGTGTTGGGCCAGTTGACGCTTCTACACTCCATCACGTACAACAAAAAGGGTCAAAGGGTATTTGGAAAGAACTTCCCTCGCGCCTGAAGTATAGTCGAACAATTGTCAAATTTAACTTTGCGGAGTGTTTTTTTATAATAATGACCCCTATGAGCTAAAATTATAAGTATGTATATGCGTTCATTGTTAAGAGTACAAGGAAAGAAGCATCGTATGCAGAAACAAAACACCAGGAGACTCCAGGATATTTTCAATTGTTAAAAAAAATAAAAAAAAAATAGATTTTGCTGTATTCTTTGGGGGAAAAAAAATGAGGGACCCCTAATTTTGTTTTAATTAAAAAATATATACTAGGCGTCATTAAGATTTTTTCACATTCTTGAAGAAGACTTCAGGGGCCGAAGACTCTTTTAAATTCTTTCTAAAATAAAAAAGCAGGAGTCTCCGAGTTCTTTCAAAATATTTCGTGTTCTTTAAAAAAAAAATACACTAAGGATTTCCAAGATATCACGTTCTTACAAAAAAAAATCAAATTGGACTCAATATAGCAAAAATTTTAATAGATATTTAAAAAAAAACAAAGAATAAGCCCCACCCATCTGCCCTGAACTCAGTTGTGATGAGTTTTTCAATATATATATTAGGGTGATTCAAAAAAAAAAATATTTTTTTTTTTCGTGCAAAGAGGTTCAAAAGTTTCTTTTCAACGTAAAAAAATACCAGTTAAAATTTGAGCTCTTAATATTAATATTAAGACCGTCCGCATCGCGTTTTTCTATTTCCCATAAGAATAACATGGGAAAATTTTTGTTTGCACCTTCTGATTTTTATTGCTAGCCCGTCGTGTGTCGTGAAAAAAATTCAATCACATATTTTTATAGAGAATTGAACGCTCTACAAAAAGTGTCTCCTATGATTGTGCGAGAAACCTGATAGTTGAAGAGTTATTTTAGGCTAAAGTTAAATTTATCCAAATTTTGACGTTTTTGATGCATTACAATAAATTTGATGGTCTTATTGGAATAAATCACCACAAAAATTTATACACATTTTAAATTTAGTTTTTTAAACAGTAATTGTTTATAATTTTATGCTATAATAAGGCCAGTAAAACTCTTTCCGAACATTTTCAGCATCAGTGGGTTAAAAAATCATAGTCAGGTTTCTCGCAAAATCATAGGAGACACTTTTTGTAGAGCGTTCAATTCTCTATAAAAATATGTGATTGAATTTTTTTCACGACACACGACGGGCTAGCAATAAAAATCAGAAGGTGCAAACAAAAATTTTCCCATGTTATTCTTATGGGAAATAGAAAAACGCGATGCGGACGGTCTTAATATTAATATTAAGAGCTCAACTTTTAACTGGTATTTTTTTACGTTGAAAAGAAACTTTTGAACCTCTTTGACACGAAAAAAAAAATTATTTTTTTTTTTTGAATCACCCTAATATATATATAATATTTCTCTAAAAAATTCTACCCTTTTAAAAACATATATCATATGATAATTTCTTGTACAGAAATGAGGATTTTGCAAACTAAACTCCGCCCTTCAGCTCACGATGAATAAAATATTCATTACAATTGAGAACGGGTGGGTGGGCGGGGTTTATATTTTGTCCATTATTTCTTAATATACGGAGTCTTCTTTTCCCAACAAGAAACTGAAAATATGTTGTTGAGAGAAAACTCTAACTATAAAAAAAACAAAGATTAAGCGCCACCCACCCGCCCCGATCTCAATTGTGATGAGTTTTTCATTGTTAATCAGACCGAAGGGCGGAGTTTGATTGTAATACATCAATATTTCTCTAAAAAATTCTACCCTTTTAAAAACATATATCATATGATAATTTCTTGTACAGAAATGAGGATTTTGTAAACTAAACTCCGCCTTTCAGCTCACGATGAATAAAGCATTCATTACAATTGAGAACGGGTGGGTGGGCGGGGTTTATATTTTGTCCATTATTTCTTAATATAAGAAGTCTTCTTTTCCCAACTAGAAACTGAAACCATGTTTAACTTTCCTATTGTTGAAAGAAAACTCTATATATTAAAAAAAAAAATGAACAAATATAACGTTATTATACCGTGCAATTGTTTTTGCGAACATTTGAACGTTAAGCGAAAAAACTGGAAGCGGATTCGTATACTACTACTAAGTGTAGGAGTATTTTTGTATAACATTCAACTCATTTTAAAATACGGCTCATTGTAAGCACGGTCCAGCAGTTTCGGAGATTACGTGTGCAATAAAAATGGATACAGACAGACAGACAGACAGACAGACGGAAACGGGTGACTACTTTTTTCGTACTGTAGGGGTCTTGAAATGTCGAGAAAACATAAAAGTGGCAATTTAATACTTTCTTAACTTACGCTCGGGAAGTAAAAACTGACTCTCAAAATTAAATTACAGTGACAGATTTAAAAAATGATAAGCGATTTAATAATTTCAAATAAATAATAATATACGAATTTTGTACAATATATTTAAAAAAGAATAGAAGAAAATTTTTAATGGGAATGGTTGAACGAATTTTGGTTAACTTTCTACCATTTTCACAACATCGTTGTAATATAAGTATCTATACTTACAAAGTTTTCTTTCAACAACATATTTTCAGTTTCTTATTTTTTATTAATTTCACCTTTTCGCAAATTCTTGTTTGTTTTTAATTTTTAACACTTTGAAGACCTTGGCATTATTTTCCCAAAATATTCTAAATAGTAAAATTTTTGTATTAATTTTTTTTTCAAAATCGCCAGTCTGCACATCTAATGTTAGGATATTTGCCTTAAGATTTTTTTTTTAACAAATTGAATGTTATACAAAAATACGCCCACATACTTGTAGTATAATCCGCTTTCAGTTTTTCGCTTAACGTTCAAATCTTCGCAAAAATAATTGCACGGTATAATAACGTTGTCTTCGTTTTTTATTTTTTTTATTACATATATACAGTTTTCTCTTTTCTTTCAACAACAGGAAAGTTAAACATGTTTTCTTATTAGGAAAAGAAGACTTCGTATATTAAGAAAACATGGGCAAAATATAAGCTCCGCCCACCCACCCCTTCTCAATTGTGATGAATGTTTTATTCATCATGAGCTGAAGGGCGGAGTTTAGTTTGCAAACTCCTCATTTCTTTGCAAGAAACTGATATATGAAATATGTTTTTATTGTTTTTAAAAGGGTAGATTTTTTTAGAGAAATATTGATGTTATATTTTTGTTTTTTTTTTCCTTTATATACGTAGTTTTTTTTCAACAATTTTTTGACGCAAAGAACAAGATATATTAAAATAAAAAAACAAAGTCAATCTATTATTCAATAATATTGGACTGTACTCCTTATGTAAGTCACGTAGAATAACTTGCACTTTCTCGTATTTTTCAAAAAACAGAAGAGATGAAAAATTGAAAAATTGAAAATTAAAAATTGAAAACTCGTGAAACTTTAAATCAAGAAACTGCAAAATCTAAAAATGTAATGAATTACATATAGGAAAATTGAAGAAAGAAAAAAGAAATCTTGGAAACTTGCAGACCGAAAAATTGAAAAAATTGAAAATGAAAAATCAAAAAATTATAAAATCGGAACATTGAAAAATTGTAAAAATAAAGAAAATAAAAAACTGAAACGAAATTGCACATGGAGAAATTAAAAATTGGAAACTTGAGAAACTCAAATCGAAAAATTGCAAAAAACTTCTTATATTAAGAAATAACGAACAAAATATAAGCCCCGCCCACCCACCCGTTCTCAATTGTAATGAATGCTTTATTCATCGTGAGCTAAAGGGCGGAGTTTAGTTTGTAAAATCTTCATTTCTTTACAGGAAATTACCATATGAAATGTGTTTTTAAAAGGGTAGAATTTTTTAGAGAAATATTGATGTAT